TTCTTTCCATCTGAAGTACCCCTGACGGCCCGTTCCTTCCAGAGACAAATTGTACATTGCCAACATGACGACCTGGAACAGAAGGTGTTGGATACAAGTGAATCTTTTCAGCTTTCTCTGCTGAACTATCCCCCACAGCTGCCACACACACGCAGATCTGTGCTCCCTCATAAATATCTTATTTTTGCAACATCTCATAGGCAACTTCTGCAATCCATCTTCTTCTTGGTTTCATGCTGCCCGTTCCTGTCTTTCTCTTGTTAGACGCATATTTGCCTAGAGATTTCTCCATCCCAGAGGAATAACAAGCTGCCTCGTTATGCAGGTTTATGCTGAGACACAAAAATTTTGCAACTGTTGTATAAATAAATTACAGTACAACTGTGGTCTGAAAGTAGTGTAGGGAAACAGTCTTTCAAAAAAAAAAAGTGGTCACAAGTAATCCTACTATCTAATCAATCAGAGATATAATGATCTAATCCATCAAACAGTGGTCTTTCTAGACACTTATTTTCCAAACTGAACAGACTGTAAATGCTCTGTAAAATTAAAGATCTCCTAATTGTTCCAGGTATGCAAGAATCAGGTTTGTCTACAGGTGATCTTCATTAAATAGAAACTGTTTACGCACACTTCACAACCAAATTCATTCTGACCTGTTACATACCTAAACTAAAGGGCAGGTGTGAAAACTATTGCACCTCTTTTAAGTAAATCCCAGGTGACCAACTGTTAATTACATTTACTTAATTCATTTGAATACAACTAAAATCAGCTGGGCTGGGATCATCTTTCAACAACCACAAAGTTTGGTACTACTTCCAACAAGGACTTATACTTCACCCTGAGAGGAGTCTGAAATATGTTTTTCTTAGGCAGATTGGTCTCTTCACAGTGGACCTTAGCTTTCTGGGATGCACTGCTGAACACATCAAAATGAGGAAATATGGACAGCTTTCATGTCCCCTGCCTCACAATCCCTCTTAGTTTGGTAACTATTTAGGATTTTGTGGTTCTTTAAATCATGTGGGACAGTCTCAGAACTTCAAAAACAATTCTCTTTTCAGCTGGCTAAAGATAAGGATCTGTTGAGGCCACATACTCTGAAAAAAAATACAGAAATCACTGTCCCCATTTTTTCCTGTTTCAGATGAGTTAATTTGATCCCTTCCCTCAATTCAGCTTATCAAGAAGAAGCAGCAGGTCTGGCTGCTGGAAGCCTAGGGAGGTAGTCATTAGTCAGCTTTCTTCCTCACCCATTTTGATTTTGTCTGCCCCTTCCCCATGCCACTCTGAAGAGACTTGAGCATAATGCTAGAAGCCTTTCCTGTCCAAATTAGAAGCTTGCTGAAACTCTGCTGGTCTGCCAACCACAGACTGCTACACCAATCTTTTCCCCTGCACTGGCCACCACGAGAAAGCACTGTAGGAGTTATAACTGATGTTTTAAATTATCTTTTATGGGACAACACACTGCTACTGTCCTAAAGGATGCAAACAGATGTCTTGCACATACTGCCCGATGTGGAAACACTGCTGAGCAACAGCTACTGCCTGTACTGAAAAACGCATTTTCAGCAGAGGCAGCCGGCACTGCCTGCCTGTCCCTTGAGTGCCCTTCACATGATGTGCATCAGTCTAGTACCTGGTCATTGCTGTATAATGCAGATTATTTTGATTGCTCAGGTATGCAAGTCACTGTAATAGTGAATTACACCAAGGACTCTTGTTAGTGCATAAGCAGCCAGGCTGGAGCTTTGTATTCAGGGAGCTGGCAAACTTTTTGTTTCTATGTTGCCACTTCAGTCATTTTACATTTTCTTATATACAAAAAACCTGCTCATGCCTGGCAGCTAAAATCTGCCTGAAGCCATGAATTCATGAGCAACATAAGGAGAAAAAAAAAAAGAAAAAGTAAGGAGAGCTGTTTGTATTATTATCTTTCAATTTACCTTCCAAATGCTCAAGTTCTCATATGCAGGCAATCCTTAGCTAATTAATTTCTGAAGTTCACGCATATGCTTCTTTCTTACTGAAACTGATCCTCCTTTTCTGTGTAGTACATACACAACAAACAATTTTAGAAGTCCTACGGTTGTTCTGCTGGCACAAACATTTTACTTACCTGTTGCCACGTTAATCTCAGACGTTCAAATTGCTCCTTCCCATCTTCTGAGCAATCAGAGCAAGTAAATCTGAAAAAGTTATCTCCTTTCAGGTAGCTGAGCTGTTCTCTCAGTTGACCTAAAATGAAAAAGCAAAAATCAATTTCTTTGTCCTTTTATTAAAAAAATGTGCTGCAAGGGAAATTTGGATTTCCTCCAATATCAGGCAGAAAAGTACTTTTTTTCCCTTCTCCCCAGAGTTCAAAGACCCAGGCAGTTCCGAGGAAGCAATGGACCTTGCTGTCATGGAAGGCATAGATTCATTTCACTGTTGCAGCAGCCAGTAGTGACTAACTGAAAAGCACAGGCATCAAAAAAGGGTATTCTACATAACATCTGAATGTAGGTACAAAGCCAAGGATTTCCTTGATTCTGCAGCATTTCTCATTCCTCCTTGCTTCCCCTAGATAACCTATAGACTTCAATACATAACTGTTTTCCCACCCTACTCAGAAAAAAAACCCAAACTGACCTGTTAAAAAAGGTATGCCACTGCAAAGGTTATCAGTATATATATTTGTTCTCTTCCATGTCATCTTTCCACTCACTGCTATGTGCTTTTACAGCTCTCTGTTCCCTGATACTGAAGTCAGATTGCCAGTCCCTGTTTCAGATCCCAAATCAGCAAAGTACTTCAGCATACACTTGGCTCCTTAAAGCTAACCCTGCATAAAAGTTTGTCTGAACAAAAGCAATAGAGCCACTTGTAAAACCCCACACATTCAAAATGACAGGCTCTAACTCTATGTTTCTTCAGAAGAGAAAAAAGAATAGATTTAACACATGAATCAAGGTTTCCAAACCCACCCAGAGTTAATTTACAAAAGTATGAAAAATTGAAAAATGACATCACAGGACAGGGAAACAATTAAAGACTACAGCGTTCGTGGAAACTTGCACACAAAAGGTATTTCACTGCAAGTATGTCATCTCTTTACTGTATAACGACACGAGATCAAGCATTTTTAATGTATGGATGCTCTACTTCCATAGTGAATTGCAGAATTTAATTACCCACACTTCGTAGATTAACAGAATTTCTAAATGGCAATTTAATGTAAAGAAGTGATTATTTGTGTGAGCATGTTGGCAATTTCACAAGTGACAAGTGAACTCCATATAACTGAGCCATTAGGGAGAGTACAGTTTTTCCCTTTTACATTTATGTTGCACATTTGTATCTAGTTACTGTTGCTTTGCAATTGGCTTTTTTTGCTCTTTGGATTTGTTCCAGAGCAACTGGAGAGAGGAACATCTTTGTAAAATAAAACAAACAGTGTTAAATCAAGCACTCCAGTGTAATTCATGCTACCTTTAACTCTGCTCCTTTTATTATTATATTTAAAGTTAATATTTCCCTTTACTGCACAGTAACTTAATAGTACAGTGCTGGTTCCATTACGTTAACATCTCAATACTAACATGCCTTGAGAGATTTCTAAGCTGTAACTTTTGGCAAATTCTAAGAAGGCAAAAAGGGCAGCTCTGACATATATGGAAGGCAGTTGCCACCTGAAGAGTTCACTATTTCTCTCCACAAACAAACAAAAACCCCACAGAAAACCCAAATCAAACCAAACAAAAAACCTCACACCAAAACCAAAAACAATTAGTGCTTAGCAATATCTGGCTTTTGGATCTAATAATAGATCAGATAACCCAGAATTTAATAAGTAAAGTCATCTGTTACGCTGCTAACAGCATATATCTTAAGTCAAGCGCCAGAGCAGAGGGATCGAGTTCTGCAGCTTGCTCCAAACATCTTCCAGAGCTGGCTGCTGCAGGCCAGACATGTTTCTGTGAAAACCAACTCAAATTCACATTAATGGGAAAACCATTAAGGTTGAGATTTAGGCATTTACTCCACAGATGTGACAAATCAACAGGAAAAAATAAAAAAACAACACCATCACAAAGTCCTTTTCTTCCACAGAGCTTTACAGCAAGGGTCATTATTTTTATCTGATAGAGCAGAGAGGCCAATTTGCTTGGCTAAAGTTCCCTAAACAGCTGCAAGACTTGGGAGGATGTGCGTGTTTTTGAAGTCATACCCTTGTTCTCTGCTAATTAAAGAAGACAGTCCGACTTCCTTACAGAGAATGCCAGCTTTGGACATACACACAGCTCATGGATCAAAGTATCTAACACACACCACTGCCATTGGGCTGCAGGGCTCCATGCAATGCCAAGCCTTTCTCCAACGTATGATAGGATACAGCTAAACAAGGGCTGCCCCGTAAGACAGGTATGCAGGACAGCACAAACAGCTTGCAAACAACAACCACAGGAATGCAAGTGAGGCACAACACAACTGGCAGGCACAACACAACAGGCAGGCTTACTTGCTGGGATCCACTTCTGGCACTTCTCGCAGTAATAGGACATCTCCTCCATCCAGGATGCTTCACCTTCATCACTGTTTAGAGAGTCCCCACTCTGGTCATGTGATAAATCCACTGAAGCCTGGTCCTCAGACTCGACAATCAGGAGAGTCTCCCCTTCTACCTCACCCTCCTCCAGGCCCTCTGAGGTGGAGGTCCTGGTGGCTTCATCATCGTGGCGACTGAGCAGCCCACTCATGTGAACGCTATTAGCCATCCTAGATCGTGTTTGCAATAATGAGCTATTCCTCCCCACATTGACCAGTCACACTGGATGTGCCAACCAAGTCTCCACAGTATGACAGAGGAAATGTTTTTTGTCCACCCTATAGTTTTAGGGAGTAGATTATAACCTGTACAAAATAAACAGTCTTTCACAGATTATCTCTGTTAGTTAAAAAATTTGCAAGTAGTTAGATATGAATGATCTCCAAACGTTTTTAATCAAGCCTCTAAGGACCCAGGCCTGTGCCTAGGACTTCTGGGAACCTTTTTGCATTAGCACCTTGTCTCTTTCTTCCATAAGCTGCTTTGTCAAAGCAATCTGCTCTTCTAACAGGCGAATATTCTCCTTTTTCTGATTTTGACGCTCAAGATCTCTGAGAACTCCACTTCGCAGCCTCTGAAAACACAAGATTCAGGATTTATCACAGCTCTGTGATGCTGAATGTGATTAACCCCCACCCAGGCTCCAATCCCTCCTGCAGGGCTGTTCACCACGCTGCCTTTGCCACAGCCACTTAATGTGGTTTGAATCTTGAGGAGCTGATATCAATATCAATAAGCCAACAGCACTACACCAAAAAATGCTTTATTTGAACTTGCTTCAAATGGGTGGTTTTACTAAATGGTAAAGTTATTGAGCAAGTAAATGCTATGCACCTGTAATTCCCATGCCATGCAGGATAGACGTCATCTATAACACCTTGTTATCTCTGCCCTAAATCTTTACTAAATTGGAATAATATCCTCAAAACTTCTCTTCTTGGAGAGAATTTTGTGACAAATTGGAAATTATTTTGCGAAAAACTGCCATGTGTCTTCACCTGCCTCATTCTGCTCATTCTTAATCTTAAAAAATACCCACAGCCTCTTTGTGCCAAGTTCTTGAAAAAGCAAGGCACTTCATCAAAAAATATCCCCTTTACCTAAAATTTTCATTATAAATCATATAAATACATAACATATATATATAAATAAATATAAATACATAACATGTGCAACACACACCAGCAGCTTGTAAGCCCCCCAAAGGGTGTAAAAAGCCCTAAGAAAATCCCAGCTGCTCTTTGTTTCCTGCATATGCTTCTCTCTCTCTGCTACCTGGACATTTTTATTCACATCAATACTTTGATAATTAGGTGAAATGTTTGACCTTTGTATCTCACCAGGGGAATGTTAAATAAGTGAAACCAAAACTGGTGAGATGGATTGGAGTGTGGTAAAGGACAGGAGGGACTAGCTGGGAACTGGCTGCACTACTCCAGATATGCACCTCTGGGGACAGGTGAGGCAGCAAAGCAATGTGATGAGATCAGATATGGGATGGGTGACACTATGAAAGGAAACAAGGAACCCGTGAAGTGTTTAATTGGTTGTGCAGAAGACATAAAGCTGAGATACAGTTCCCCAGCAACTTCAGCTGAGCACAGGCACTGCTGCTGCCATCCTTCCAGCCTCATGCTCCCAACACTGCTGTCCCACCCCAGGGCCAGACATCAGAAAATAATGCTCTGCCCAGTCTACTTTGGTGGTTTGGCTTAAACTCCTCGGGCAGGCAACGTGGTTTCACATATTCAGACACTTAATAGATTTCAAAGCAATAGCTATAAACTTGTCAGAAAATAAGATACACAAAGATAGAAATATTATAAATCAGTAAAAACATGAAATGATTGTTGAGAGCCAGCCCTGGCTCACATCTAAATCATGCTGTGTGATCACAGTCATGCTTAGCACAATTAAAGATTCAATCTTTAGCTGAAGCTTAAAGCATTATCTACCTGCCTAATTTACCAATTCATGTGCAGCTTGGACTCAGGAATGAGAAAGTTTCCACAGGTATCAAGGTTAGCCTCTGGACACTAGAGATACGAATAAATTATTTAGCCTAATGGCAAAAAAAGATTAATAATTTATTCAATCCATTCGAATGATGCCAAAATGCACCTGCAAATAATTTATTTGAAAGCTGACCCTGAAGTTACTTTAGATGTCTGTGATTATTATTTGACATATTCTCACAGTTTTATTCCTCATCTAGCATGCCAATAACTGCACATTTCAAAGGCAATTATTTTTCCTGTTAAGATCAAAATAGAAAGGCTTTGTTTAAGAAGTAATTTTACCTTGTTAAGAAAATGCACAGACGCATACGTCAGCCAATAACCAAAACTCCAGAAATTAATCTAATAAAACTAGTTCCTTCCCATCAGCTTCTATCAGCTACACTCAGGTTATAAATTAGTAATTGCTGAAGACAAAGTTCATCAACTTATTATCACATTACTATTTGTTAATAACAATAAAGAAGTGGGGAGATACACCAAGAATGTAATCTTTTTGCCTTCACAAAACACAGCTATTCTGCAATCTTTGAGATGGTGAACGCATTTACTTTGAAAATGCACAGTTTGCAAAAGACATCTGTATAATTTGAGTATCACAAGTGACAAAGAGCTGTGAAAAAGTTAATCTTCTCACCTTCCTCTATTCTTGGAAGTTAGCACTGCTTGCCTTCTGCATCAGCTTGCACATGCAAGCTCAAATCACTTTGGGCCTGGCACAGCAATTTATAAAAGTCAAAAGTTTATTAATCTGCATAAAGATAAATCTGAAATAATCCCCACACCAGGACTGTAAAATATCCACATTATTTATTTGTTTTATATTATCTAAATAAGTGGATCTCTAAAACATGGAGCTCTTATTGTCTGACGACCACAAAGAATTATAAAAAGAAAATCTGAGATTTCATTTATAAAAGATAAGCTTTGAGTCTTGGTGCTTCTGAATAGCGATTTAAAATTAAGTTAAACTGATGGCTGTGGAAAAAAAAAGAACTGAGTATTTTGGATTCACTTCTGCAGCAGCAGCACAATAAGGGATGTTAATATCCTGCAAACATATACAGTTTAGCACCATATTCAGCTTTTCGAGACATCACTTCGAATTTTAGATAAATGGTTTGTGAACCCATCCCCATTTGTACAGGCCAGGCACTTCTGAAGTCATGAGTTCTCTGCATAGAGTTCAGGGTTGTGAAGTCTATGGGCTTGCCCATGCCTGCGTGTATGGAAGAATGGCAAAGAATAGACACTGGATCTGTCGTCCAAAACCTCAAAAATGTTTTGTCACTGACCAACTCGATCTTTTGGCCCCTCCATCTCTAGGACACTCAGCAAACCTGCCTATCTGCCAGCAGCCTGGAAGCAATGACACTGATACCCTGCACAGAAATGGCTGCTTCCAGATCTAGAAAAATAAGTTAAACCAGACCTATGGGGAGAAAGCTGCCCACCTGTCTGGGAAGCAGAGGATCTCTCCAGGTAGAAGCTTGCAGCAGCCACCACAATTGTAACAACCACAGCAATTCAGCCTGTTGCCCGAGGTGTTACTGCATGACACATAGATCCTGGCCTGACGGTGGTATTACTTATTTACCTGTAGATTCTGTTATGTTATCTCTACAGAATAGGAACATTTTGTAAACCTTCATTTATTTTCACAGTCTCTCTATGAGATGAAGGAGAGATATTAGCCAAGGATTAAGGTCAAAACATCCATTAAGTTTGGGTTTCTCACTGAAATACACAAAGGTTATGTTCATCAGAGCATGTGTTGTCCTGCAGCACTGCTCAAAGTACAGCTCTGATTAATTTCAGCTGTAGTTTAGTTTATGAGTATTTAGCACATATTCCTGTCAGATCCTCAGTGGCTCAAGGCAGGTACACTGAATTAGAGAGCAACAACCTACAAAAATGGGACCTTTAGTGATCTACCCAACATATATGTCAGCTCTGGCAAATGTAAAGCCATTACTGGTTGCCACTCCAAGAGACCAGCCTTCCTCTCCTTGGTACTGCCTGTGTCATTGAGTGTGTTGTCCAACTCCTGCACAAATAAAATTGCCTCTTTCCTTACCCAGACCAGTCTCGTCCTCCAAGATCTACCGTTCTCAAGCACTGACAGAGACCTCTTGAGGGGAAAAAATATAATGCTGTAATTACAGACTGCATTGTAAAGCCCACACAACAGCCAGCTGAGCTTGGCTATGGACTAGGAACTTCAAGTCCGGTGTTCTGTAACTTCTGTTTCAGCGTCATTTAACATGGGCTGGTTTTGTGCATTTTCTAGATTTTTTGGTAAATAAGGGAGGCAAAATCAGATGGGTGCCCTCATTCCAGTACTTCCTTGGCTCATCAGCAGGGTCCAAACCAGCACACTCACTGCCCAAACATCTGTCACATGCAATACATTCATTACACAATTGTACAACTTTTAGTCCTGGGCAGGACTTCTCTGTACTGGGACTCACCATCATCGGACCTGACACTTTTGGCTGTGGGCTCTCACACACAGGGTGCCTGTCAGGAATTACCTGATCTTTGTAAATGTAGCACCGAAAACTTCCCTGTTTAATTACCACATGGTGTTTCTGACAGCCTGCACTCTGCCTGTCCTGTCAGAACAAGAAGGGAGCCAGGCCAGGCTGCATGGCACAGAACAGCCCTTTATCAGGATGCATTTGAGGAGTTGAGGAAAAGCAGATCACATGCACTGCCAGAGGAACAAGCACCAGAGGGACAGCACAGCCAGACAGGGAAGTGTCCTAGAAACACTGCCAGGGTGGTGGCCTTGGGCCTAGAGGGTGCAGGATTACATCCTTCCTGCATGCTGGCTGCTGGAGAGGGAGGGAAGTGCCTCCACCGAGCCTGTCATGCCTCACACTGGGGCTCCTTGCTATTAGCCCCTGAAGGGAAATGCACAGGATGAGATTAGGGAGCTGGTGCAGCTAAAAGAGCATGCAAAGGGCAGATGCCAAGGCAGGAAAACATGGAGAAGAGGTAGTTCATGGAAAGAGAAACACAGGGGGCAGCGCAGGGGAGGCAGCACTGGTGGGGCACTGCAGTGCAGGTGCAGCTCTGGCCCCTGGGCGCCAGGCTGGGCACACCGAGTGCCTGCAGCCCCGTGTGGGGCACTGAAGGGAGGGATGGATGGATGAAGGAAGGGAGGGATGGATGGATGAAGGAAGGGAGGGATGGATGGATGAAGGGAGGGAGGGATGGATGGATGAAGGGAGGGAGGGACGGATGGATGGAGGGATGGAGGGATGGAGGGATGAAGACAGGCTGCAGCAGAGACACGTGGAGCTGAGGCTATGGGCCCACGGCGGGAACCGAGCAGGGTGGGGCGGGACGGGCGGGGCCGGCCGCTTGGCCCGTCGGGGGACAGGTCAGGCCCGGACGAGGGGGCGGGGCGAGGGCGGGGCCGCCGTGGGCGCGGGGCAGGGCCCTGCTCGCCCCCCTCCCCCCGCGCCCTGCGACGCGCACTCACCTCCAGCTCCCGGCGCTGCTGGACGTGCACGGCCACCACGATGCGGCGGAGAGCAGCGCGGAGGTGGCCAGCGCCAGCCAGGAACTCCGCGACATCGCCGGCTGGGCGGGCGCGCGGGGCAGCGCCGGCGCAGGGGTGCGGGATAGGGCGAGGAGGCACGCCCCGCCCCCCGCCGAGCGCCGAGCGCCTCGAGCCAGGCCCGAGCAACCGAGCGCTGATGCGGGGCGGGGCTGAGCACAAGGAGGGGGGATTCGGGAGCGGCCGCTAGCGGCTGTCGGCACGGCACGGGGAGCGGAGCCGGGGCTCCTCGGGGCCGCGGGAGGCTTGTCGCCCTGCCGAGACTGGGCACTTGCACTTCTGGCTTAAAACTCTGACCTGGGGTGCTAAAGACGGGCCTTTGTTTCATCAACGCCCCTACTGGGGAGACGGTGCCCGAGTGTGTGAGTGCTTCACAGACAGAGAAAAAGTTATATTTCCAGTGCAGATGGCTGTCATGAATGATACTGATCCACCATGTTCAGAGGTGATCCAGGCCTCAACTAGAAGAATTCAGCCTTTCAGGGCACTTTTGCTCCATAACACTTAAAAGCAAACTTCTCCCTGGCTTCTGTGGAGCAGACAGATTCTCAGCCATGCATCGGAGAACCTGTCAGCACTCACTATCTGCTGCCTTGCCACTCAAATGAGCATAGCAGAGGTGCACAAGAGTGACTCTTAGGAATGTATCAAACAAAAGGATGTCTGGTGGGGAGGGGGGATATACCACGAGGTCTCTAAAACCCTGATAGAAGTCAGGGAACAACCATTCACTGTTTCCCACAGCCAGGGGGTAACAAGCTTAAACCAAGCAGAAAAAGGTTGTACCATGTGGGACTAAGTTGTGGAATTCATTGCCCTTGTACTCCAGAAATTGAACCTACCTATAAATTCAGAAAGGAACTGTACAAATTCCTGGAGCACCCTTGATGTCTGGATGCTGTTTTTGTCTCACAAGCTCCTTAAACCACAAATGAACGAGAATGTGGGAGGTTTGTTGTGAAAGATGTAGGCTTATTCCTGACTCCTTCCTGTGCTTTTTTTCTCCAAGCATCTGCCACAGCTCACTGCCAGGCAGTATGGTGGGGCACAAGGAATCTCAACCTCAGCAGGTGCCTGAGTTTTTTCCGTGGTAGGTCAGGTGTTCCTCCTCTTCTCCCTTCCTCCCAATGGCTGGGCCTTGTTGAAGGGCTTGCCTTCCCTGCCATGGCCCTGCTCTTCTGTTTTGGGGGGTTACCCCCTTTCCATGCTTAAGGTGAGCTCGTTCAGGGAGGGAACCTTTTCCAAACCCAGCCATGGACCAGATGGTCTGGTTCAAAACCCTGCAGTAGCAACAGTGTGGAAAAGCCCATTTTCCTTTTTCTGAGACACTTTTCCAGCTGGGTTGGGTAAGCCCACCAGAGGCACACTGCAGAGGCACAGAAGTGGGGGTGGTGGAGGAGAGAGGGCAGGAGTGCCTAGTGGTGACACCAGCTGTTTTAGGTGGTGGTTGGGAGAAGGACAAGAGAGAAGATATCAGAGTTACCCCAATGAACACAAGCTTGGTGACCCTTGACCTGTTGCAGAGATGTCTCGTGAGGCTGATGGGGCGTGTGTGACTGGCAAAGCCTAAAGGAGACTCTGAAAAGCTGAAGGCCATTTTTCCCCTGGGCAAAGAGCTCAGATCTATATAGTGGTCTTGGATAACATATCTTCAGTCCATCCTTAGGGGGTATTTTTTCCTGGATTTCAAAGAAAATTAAGCTTGTGCAGCCTTTGTGCCTCATCCACCCCCTCCCTTGCCTCTGTGCTCTTACACAGGCATTTACCACCCTCCTTAATAAGGCTGCATTGCAGGCCCCATCTCATTAAGACTTCCATGTTTATTTCTCCATTCCAACCATTTTGATGATGTGGAGGAGTTCAGGCTGAGCTTTGTGTAATGGATGGTTATGCTGAGCAGTGTAATATCCCATGAAGGGAAGGGGTGGCAGTGTCAGCTCAACCCTATTAGCCACCAGAGAATCCAGAAAACAGTTTGCTCAGTTGTGGCTTGCCTTAGCGACAAAAAAAAAAAAAAAAAAAAAAAAAAAAAAAAAAGGAAAAAGCCTAAAGAAAAGCCTGCAAGATATTGCAGAGGAGGAGGACAATGTTTGAACAGACCCTATTTCCAGGTTCATGTCCTGAACCACAGCCCCCTCCTGCTCCATTTCTCCCATGGAATATGAGGAACCACTCTCACTTATCAAACTGCAAACAAAAATAATCCTAATGGTATGTTTTCACAAAGCTTCCCTCTTCGCAGAGGCAGCTCTCCCTCCCTCCTGGGTGGGCATGTACATGAAGGCATGTGTGCTCACACAGTAGACTTTGCATGCACCTGGAGCACTCCACCAGGACACAGTGGCTCAGCTACCCTAGTGGCAAAGAAAACAAAAAAACTAAACCCAAATTCAACCTAAACCAAGTTTTCATTTTCTCTGTGAAGCCATGTGTGGCTGACGAGTGCAGGTATGCATGCAGGTGCCTGCACAACAGTCTGCAAGGTCTCCAGATAGATACAGAGCTCAGCACTCAGGATAATCTACCAAAGAGAGGAGCACACTGTGCCTGCTCTTATTAGCATTGATTTTCTCCCTATGGCAGCGCTAATAATAGCAGCAAAAATATAGAATTGCTATGATGTAGAGACACTTTTATCTCACTGTGATGCCTTTTTCACTTTGAGAAAAAGAATTACTCCTGTCCCCCCACAACAGTGACAGACCTGGTTATGACAGTATAGGCATCTGTTGTCCAGGTGCAGCTGCTCTGGCCCTGCAGTAAATGTTTCTATTGGATTTGCTGGGGGGGTCATGTTGTTGGTATTGAAAAATGCATTATGCAGAGGAAAAAACTGTAATGTGGTAATTTTTGTGTCCCTCCTCTGTAATTCAGAGGCATGGTCACTGGGGACTTCTCTGTGCACAGAAACTAAAAAAATAGTTTAAATTAATGAAATGTATGTATTAAAAATGCCTTATTGTGACCAGGTTAGCCTCCTCTCTAGGCAGGTGGAGGTATGGCTGGCTTGGGCAAGTTTTATTTTCTGTTGGGCATGAATGAAGTGAAATCCATCCAAACTTATCCCCTCAGCACTTGTATGGAAGCCTCACCAGCCTCTGATATGTTCTCACCAGCAATCTGGATGAATTTTGTTGCTTCTCCCATGCAGACAAGCCCCAGGGCTCTGATAGTTCTTCCCAGGGAGCTGGAGGGAAGCAAGTTTGATTGTCCTGAGGTTTAATGATGGAGGATTGCACGATTACGAGCAAGATTACAAGGAAGGAAGCATTAAGACTTTACTTCCATTTACAGAGCAGCCCGAAAAACAGTTACTTTTGATTTTAAATTCCCCATGCACTTCCTCCTTCCAGTGGTGAGGGCAGAAACCTGGGGCAGCCACTCATGGAGTCTTGCTGATTTTTATAGTCAGTTATGTTAGTTACATGTTAGCCAGCCAGCCCTGGGGACACCAGTGGGTCGCCTCCAGGTAAATAAACTAAGGTGTGGGCTCGGCCGCCACTGCTGCCACCTCATATTGCCCTGGCTGCAGGGTGGCAAGGCCCTCATGGCCCCAGATGCCCTGCACCACCAGGATAGGGGAAGGGGGGAGAGCAGTTTGGATGGTGGCTGCCTGCCACATCTCTCCCCGCTCTCCCCATGGCACGGCTTGTCTGCGCCCTTCATTTTGGGACTCCGCAGAGGGTACCCAACTCAGGGAATGCACCCTGGCTCCCTCCTGCGTGTGCTTCCCCTGAGAGAGGAGGGGCAGTTGAAATGCAGGTGGAGGCCAAAGTCTATCTGCTCAGCAGCAGAGAGAGGATGTAAACCCAGCATTTTATAATTATATTGGTGGCAATTGCACAGACCCTTGCCCATGGATGGCGGGAGGCAGGTGTTTTAGCAGTGCCATTGGGAATTGAGGGCAGAGATGCTTACAGGCATGGGGTTGGTTTTTTTTTTCCTGGAAATCATTGTAAAAGGCACTGGGAGATAAAAACCCTTATAGAACCCCAAAGCATTGGCAGAGTAATTCTGCAGTCACCCTCAGCTTGCATGGCAAAGGTAACCCCGCCTCAGCACTAGGGCCACTGTTAGGCAGGGAGGTGTGGGAGTCTCTGGCCCCAAAGCAAGGTGAGCCCTGTGGGGTGCTGCACCCCCCAGCTCATACCCTCCCAGGGCTCTCCCAGGAGAAAGAGGGCTTCTTGGGCTCCAGTGGTGCTGCTGTGCAGGGAGCAGGGAGAGGAGGGCTAAAGTAAGGCTTTGGCCTCATCTAGGTGGGCATGGAGGGGGCAAGAGACATCCACAGGTGCTGCAGACAGCACTGTGTCCCTCCAGCTGTCAAACCACAGCTGTAGGGAAAGGACCCCAGCTGGAAGCAGCACCACTGAGCTCCCTGAGTGATTTCATAGGCAGTGGGTGTATATCCTGGTGCTTAACTCATCCTGGGCTTGTTGGAGCAGATGCTCTGCTGTAGCATAGGCAGGACAGGCAAGGACTCTCCAGCAGCAGCACTGGATCCTTGCAAGGAGCCAGCCCTCCACATGCACACGTGGCACCAAGACAAGGAGCAGGAAAGGTCCATCTCTAACACAGCAGTATTAAAGACTCTCCCAACAGGGGTTGGGACATCCTGTCCTGTCCCCTGGCCCTGCCTAGAGCAGTTTTGTGCTCAGGCTGGCATCAGCACTGCCAGTAGCCAAGGCTGTCCTGGTGGTTCTCCTTGATGGAGAAGAGCTGAGGGGAGCCCAGAGGAACCTCATCTTCTCTCTCTACTGTTACCATAACCCCCAGGGAGTTGCACTGCTTGGTCAGGGGTGGCAGCAATAGGACCATCCTGAGCACCCAACTGGAGAGAGTTATTCTTTCCTCCAGCTCATAACTGACCCTCTCTGCCCTGGTTACTGCTCCCTCACTCTGTTAATCTTTCTGTTCTCCCTCAAAAGCACCTGTCAAAAATCTCTCCTGGAGATTTTTGAAATGGTAAAGAAATACTCCAACTCCATATGCATACAATGGGGTTTATGGCAGCCATCAT